CGAACGTCATCGCGCTGCACGAAGTCTTTGAAAACAAGGCGGAGGTCATCCTGATCCTGGAGCTGTGAGTTTGTCTTCTGTTTGTCAAAAAAAATGTGTAATTACATTTAAAACCACAAAAGGTCCAAAAACATCAACAAAGTAAACAAATAAAGAAGATTCGGCGTCAGAAAGGTTCAAATCAGAACACGTGAAACACGTGAAGAGCAGATCAGAGGGATTCATTCATCAGATGTTTAAAGCATTTAAAAAAAGCCAAACGCCCGACCAGACTTGCTCCTCCTCTGATAAACGTCCTGCAGGAGCCGGTTTGTCTCCAAACAGACGGCTGATAGAAACCGTGACGGTAACTGTTTCCCACCAGTTAAACCAGTTTTACACGCTTACTTCAAACATCAGCAGTGTTTGTAATCCAACTATGCACCATTATTCACCATTACTCTGCGCCTCAACAATAAGGTCGCCGCGCTGCAGATAGTCGCCCGACGGCATTCCTGCCCGCTGATCGCGTCTGAAATAATGGCACCGTGTTTGTTGTGGTTCGCCGCGACCTCGTCTCCACGCCGATAGTGAGCGGGCAGACCGCGTAACTATGGCAACAAATAATCTCTTTTCCATGTCGTGTATCTCTGTTGTTTATGTTCTTTAGGCTGTTAAAGATGTTAGGACATGTTAATAACAGCAGAATGAGATTAGCTGTTGTTTTCCAGTTTTCATGTTTCCTCGTTCCCAAAGCAGGAAACGCAGCCTCTCTGCTCCTGATTGGTCTCTGTTCATGGGCTGTGAAATTACAGGTTCAGCAGTAAAATCAGGGGAAAACTCTCATTAGCATATAATCAGTTTACTGAGAACATTCACGGGTTTAAAAATAGTGACGCCTCGGTTCATGTTCGAATTCTCCACCCTAAGTAGCCGTTTATCTCCTCTCTGAGGCCTTTTTAAATCTAAGCTCATAAGTTCAGAAGAAGTTTAGAAGAAGTCGCGTCTTTAAACCTGTAAGACTGTCGGAGGCACTTTGTAAGTGGACGGTCTGAGAGCCGCCGTCTCCCTCCTCAGACACGTCGTGTTTCAGGAGGTTCTCACCTGTCAGGGACGCGTGTCAGCTGAGCCACCTTTGCCCTCGGGTCATTCTAAAGACCTCCACCTCTGCTCCATCCATCTATCCTCTGCCTCCATCACACACAGTATCCCACATGTTCACTGCTCACTTTATTTTCACTACGTAATGACGTAGTTAACCTCATGAAGGACAAATACGGAAAATTCATGCTTTTTTCTTTGTGTTGTTGAAGTGCAGATGTTGTGAGTCTGTCAGAGGAAGTGGAGGTCGGTTATCTGTGGGCGTTATTAACGAGTGAGTGAAGCAGGAGACGTTTCTGTCCTCGAGCTTCCTCTGTTGGGTGTCGCAGCTCGAACGTATGAGAGTTCAGAGGAGAAACACACCAGGCTCCCACAGAAGCCACACCAGCGCCTCCATAAGTGATGGTGTGAGAGTATAGAGTTCACATACAAGCCAAATATTTCAGCAGAAAACACTTAAGTTTCCCTGAAGTCTTCGATCCGTCTCGTTTTCACGACGCACTTTGAGCCGCTGATGGTGACGAGACGTCTGTCGGTGTTCAGCTGCTGCTGATACAGGATCAAATATGAACCAGGAAGTTTGTTTTAAATGCTTAAATGTTACACAAGAGCTCGAA